CGCCGTTGGCGGCGCCACGCGTTGCCGCTCGCGTTCGACAGACCCGTGTCGAGCACGTGGCCGAACTCGAATCGGGGCTTATCTGGAAAGGCCTGATAGTCGGTGACCAGGATACGTTTGACGAGGTTCGGATCGGCCACGGTCAGCACCGGGCTCGTGCCCTCGTAGTGTCTAAAGCATACATTAATAAAATTTTTAATCTATAGCAATTACTAATGTTATTAGTATTAGTAACTGGGCTCTGTAGCCCATGGACGTTAATCTATGGGAACCACAAATAAATATAGTTTCCAACAAAACTTTTACCATGATTAGAATCTAAGGCATAGATATCCAAACCATGATTAGCAAGCACAACTAATATTGCAATTTATATTAATTATCTACGAGTGTCAATTTGTGCGAAAGTAGTTAACTAATGTTGACGCAATTTGATTAATTACTGCATGACTCATAACCTACTATGCGCATACATTGTAATCCGGGCCATATTTATAGTGACAAAACTATGAATATTATAACATTAATCAGTATTGAGAAATGTTTAAAGTTTTGTCACTCAGAATGTGGCCCTAAATGGCTCGAGTGCTGATCGTAGGTCATAAAAATAGTTTTTGGTTTATCATTATAAATTTTGGAGACTTTCCTATTACTGTACTAATATAGAAACTAAAAAAATAGTGTTGTGAGTCACGCATTGTTTAAAAGTATTTCAACACTAGTAAACACTTATCACACTTAAGTATAGATTAATACCCATATATTGTGCCGTATTTGTGAATCCACTCCATTTCGGTAACCATTTTGGGTTTGAGTACAGATGATAACGAATTTCCGAAACCAGTTATAGGCGTCGGACCTGGAATTCCCCGTTTACTCCAATAATTATATTGTCTTCTCATATACCTATAAAATGGGAGTACTTTACGTCAAAATCCCGAGAATTAAAAAAATAATAAATATAATTATCAATAATAATAAAATCTATCCCGGGACATGTCCTCATTTAACTTAAAATTATATAACCTTAGTTTCTGGCTTATATGTGAAAGATACAAACAATTATCTTTGTATAAGATTATCTTAAGATGATAAAGGTACTCTATATTAAAACCAAGTGTGTATTTATACGAATGAACAAATAAATTGTAAATAATATATGAAATGTTTTAATTAATTAATTAATTTTAATTAATTTCAAGACGTTATCTATATAATTGCTTTTTTAAATTTTAATAACATTATCAAAGATTTTTATAAAATTAAATCATTATTTTAAAATGACTCACAAATAGATTAGTAATCCAGCAGCAATTAGCCCGGTAATAAGCGACGAGTAAGTCAATCCCATTTCAATTCCGTGTTAAGTACTCAGCACAATGTTTGGTATAAATTACGATAAACTAATACTCAGTGTTGTGTTAAATAATATTCTAAGTTTATATAAAATTTATCTCTTATAACCAATGACTCACAAATAGATTAGTAATCCAGCAGCAATTAGCCCGGTAATAAGCGACGAGTAAGTCAATCCCATTTCAATTCCGTGTTAAGTACTCAGCACAATGTTTGGTATAAATTACGATAAACTAATCTCGGTTTTTATTGAGGATCTGTATATATAACTGTATGGTTTCAAGATTGTGAGTATAGATTTTATAAATTAAAAGTTATTTAACAGATGTGCTGTATGTTTGACTTTTATATGTTGTATAATAGACTGTCAGCGCGTTTCCATACTATATGTCGAAGTGTGCGTTAGATATGATGACTAAATGCTTGGCACTCGAGTTGGCCAACAATGGCGTGCGAGTGAACACAATATAGTAATTGCTTTTTAAACTGTATTAATAAACACAATTATTTTTAAATTTCACTGAAAATACTTTTAACAACTATTAATATACTTTATAAATATAAATACATTATATCTGTCATAAAGTCCAGCGGCCGTCAAAAGTGGTTTCAACGAAGCCTTGGGTCTAACGAGGGAACAGTCGGAAGCGAAGTATATATAATACAACAAAATATATGTTATAGATATGGCTCTTAGAGTCCCATTGGGGCGCCGGTTGGGTCGGCCCATAGAGAACGCCAACGCAGTACTGTTTGTAGCGTCGCGTGACTCAGGTTTCGTAACCGGGAGTACACTTGTTTGCGATGGCGGTTACCTATTGGAGTGATGCAGGGTATCCGGCTCTCTCAGGCTACCTATCTATTGACCGAATCTTTAACCAAATTTTGGTTTAGACTGATTTATGGTGAATGCATAATGTTTAGATATATAGCTATTTTTGTAAATGTTTGTAAACAAATATCCACCCTGTTTATGGACCCAACATTTTGTACAAAAAATTTTAGCGAGTATAGAAATAAGTATTACATGTAGATCCCTTTAAACAGATAAATAATTTAATTTATAAAAGTCGGTTAATTTTGGTCATTCGAGAGAGTTATGCAATCTATTTTAAATATCATTGACAATGATACATTGTATTCGTTAATCAAGATAATATTTAATAAGAAATGTTATAATGATAGTCGTTATATTAATTTTGCAAAAAAGTTTGGTAATTTAATTAGGCTAGAAATTGCCGAATGATATCAATTTTAATACGGATTAATTTTTTAAAATTTAATGATGTAATGGTAAATTAATCACTATATAATAATAATGACTAGATATAAAGTATTTTTTGTATGTTAATAAAATATCAATTCAATTGAATATCAATTTTATATCATCTATTGTGTATTAAAAACTATATAAAGGTACGATCACTTCTATCCCGTGTCGGGAAAAGTTGAATAGCTTTTGAATATATTATCCAATCTTTAATCCGTTTTCACCAAATTGTAGCTGGATAATGTCAAACCCTGATGATATACTATTTGCCATACAAATTCACTAGGATAACTTAGTAATTTAACTTCAAGGTTTGATTAACATTTCTCATTTAAATAACATGGAGGTTTTGCTTCATTTTTCATAATTTATTCTAAACAGTCTCAATTTTTAAATTACTGTATTTTGGTCATTGTTGGAATTATAAAAATCGCAATAAAAATGACTAAAATACAGTAATTTAAAAATTGAGACTGTTTAGAATAAATTATGAAAAATTAAGCAAAACCTCCATGTTATTTAAATGAGAAATGTTGATCAAACCTTGAAGTTAAATTACTAAGTTATCCTAATGAATTTGTATGGCAAATATTATATCACCAGATTTTGATCCAGCTACAATTTGTTGAAAACGGATTAAAGATTTGGTAATCCATTCAAAAGCTATTCAACTTTTCCCGACCCGGGATAGAAGTGATCGTATCTGTATCTCTTAGCCAGCATCGATAGGGCATCATTGACAAAATCGATTGTATAGCTTTAGCACGAAGTATATGATTGAAATGTACAGGTATCGATTAATAGCGACTATCAACAATTTTTTGTAATAATAATAATAATAATAATGCCCTATTGAAAGCGGCTACGAGATACGTATAAATCATAACCAGAGGTTAATGGTTTTTAATAAAAGTTCATTCAATACTTTAACCGTTAAAGTTTAGCGGCTGTTTGTTTTAGATCCATAGATTAATTTATAATTCATAAGTTATAATTTAAGATTAGACGTTAAATGAAAACTCTGTGACAAACCGTTATTTAATTACTTTGTGGGTAGATTTTACCAGAATATATTTTGCGCATTTAGTAATAACTTTGTAAATTCATTTTTAAACTTTGAGATTTGCGTACGTTATTTGTACTTGTACTGTATAGGATAAAGCAAACATCGAGTTACAAAATTGAGTAGCATGCACACCTCAATGATATACTAAATGCGGCACTAATTTTATGCCTTAGTAACAGACGACTATTACCAGTCTCTCGATTGATTAATTAATGTTAGATCTAAATATTTACTTCGTATACACAGTGTACTCGTCAAAACTGAACAGTTCTTATTATTTATAGCTAAGTGGTTTAACCTTTGATCGCTAGCAGTGTACTATGGAAATAAATTTTTAGATTTAGAATTTGTATTGAATAATAAGAACTGTTCAGTTTTGACGAGTACACGGTGTATATTGTAATACATTGACTTAGTTACATAATATCTAAACGGGTGCGGGTCTATTGACCTAAAAACCAATTGACCTAAACTTAAATAACTTAATGACCAGTAGGTAAATATACCTGATGACCAGTGTAAAATGTTCCCCTTGACCTAACCTAACCTTACCTATCCTTACAATGGTCAAAGTCTATTGGTCATTAAGTTANCCTAACCTAACCTTACCTATCCTTACAATGGTCAAAGTCTATTGGTCATTAAGTTATTTAAGTTTAGGTCAATTTGCCAGTTCCCTATCTAAACTATGCCTAACAATACCTATTGTGTGACATTCTAGAATAAACTAGAAATATATTTCTAGAATGTTTGCATAAAGGCTTTTGTTGGGGGACTGCTATAAAAAGGGAACATTAGGTATTGTATGGGACAGTTAGCCCATAGTAAGACCACTATTATATGATCACTGGCTATAATTGGCACATAAGACCAGTTTTTGACAGTGAAAGCTATACCTTATGTAATGCATATAGACTTGAATTGAATGTAAAAACTATTTGACTTTAAATAATAAATAAATTTGTGATTAATAAACTTGTGTATTTAATTGACTGAACCTTAATGAACAAGCTCATTTAGTATTTAATTAAGCAACTACGTAAGTTATTTGTGCTGACAATTACCAAGATCAGCCAATGCTTACAATATGAAGTAAATGTTTAGATAAAAAAAATTAGATCAGTGGTTATCATTCTATAAATATAGTGACAACTAGCCTTGTAACAACTTTGAATTTTAAAGCATTTCATTCAACACTAGTTATTTTATTAACCTCTATCACTAATTATTTAAATAGTTAAATTTAAATAGTTAAAAGTCATATGAAAATTAATAATAAACTGCTTTTCATACATACAAATATTTATTAGTCATAAATTTGATTATTATATTTTTTGCTTATTATTAATTCTTATGATTAACAAATATTCATAAATATAATAACAAAATATTAGTATTTAAATCAAATATTATATTGATTAGTAAGGTGATATTATAAATAAAATAACTAGTGTTGAATCAAATGTTTAAAAATGTGACGTTGTTACAAGGCTAGTTGTCACTTAAGTGACAATATGAAAACCAGTGCATTAGATAATCAATCGAAAGACTAGTAATAGT